TCAAAACATCAAAAAAATTATATAAATCTTGGTTAACATGAAATCTTGGTTAACTCCATATTATTTTGAAGTATTTTAGAATATAGGGTTTAGAATGTAATTGAATTATTTTGGAATTTGGGGTTTAAAATGAAATTAAGGATTGTTTTGCAAGTTTTAAAAGTTGGGGGGACCTAAATGCAAGTACCTAAAAAGTTTAGTGACCATTTATATAATTTACACTAATTTTCATAGCTTCAAACGGTGATCTCACTGCCACATCATCATCTTCTAACGGCAGTGTAACGTCGGAGACCATATTACAAACGGACTAAATATTAGGGGACTGTATTGTAAGTTTTAAAAGTTAAGGACCTAAATGAAAGATTCAGAAAAATTTAGTGACCATTACTATACTTTACCGTAAAAATTAATTTCATTCTAATGTAATAATTTTTGTATTTTAATCAAACAATAGGTATAGCAATTAGTAAAGCCTGCAAATTTGTCGGTTTGTGAGGAAATGAAATGAAACTCATTTATTCCATTTGATGTCCCCTACTCCTTCAAGCTCAGACTCGGATCACTCACTGTCACAACTTTTTCTCTCCCCTTCCATCTCTCTCTCTCTCCAATCCTCTTTTGACATAATTTTTGTATTTTGTGGGTTTTTTTAGTTTATTATCTTTCTTTGTAATACCCTTTAAAGTTCTTCTTCTTCTTCTTCAGAAATGGTTAACATTTTAGTTGTTCTTCACGTTTCTTTGGTTAGTTCTTGAAAAAGGAAAACCCAGCTCTTTGCTGATGCTACTGTTTCCGTGCTCTCTTCTTTGAGAGAGCCTTTCAACAGTGATATCCAGCCCGTTCCTTAGCAGTTTTGTCTTTTGTATCGGGATCAATATTCACTGGGTTTGTGCTTTCAAAAATCCTTTTGAAAGTTGGATCTTTGGGGGGGAGGGGGGCAGATTTTAGCCTTTTTCTTTTTCCCACTCATTTCACTAGCTCTTCACCAACAGCTTAAGAAAACCATCCATCTGGCTTTTATTTGAGGCTCCTCAAATCAAAACTCCTCTTTTTAGCTTCTTGTTTGTCTTTTCTCTCTCTTTGGTGTCATATATATCACAGAAAAAAGACGGACTTTACTAAGAAACAAACTATTCTCAGTTCTGAAGCCAAACCCTCCGAAACAAGCTCTCAAAGGCCACAGCTTTCTTTCACTCACTCTCACCGAGTGTATTTGTCTAACAAGTTCTCATATATATATATATATATATAAACAAAAATTGTTTATTTCGATCTTAGTTTTAGCTAGAAATGGCTATGGCGGTGGCCCAACATAGGGAGAGCAGCAGTGGAAGTAGCATCGACAAACATCTTGATGCTGGCAAGTATGTTAGATACACAGCTGAGCAAGTTGAAGCTTTGGAGCGAGTCTATGCCGAGTGCCCCAAGCCTAGTTCCTTGCGTAGGCAACAGCTAATAAGGGAATGCCCCATCCTTTCCAACATTGAACCTAAACAGATCAAAGTATGGTTTCAAAATCGCAGGTAAGCACACTTGATCTTGCCTTTTGTTTTTCATTAGAGTTGTTATGAACTTTTTTAAAAAAAAAATGGGGACCCTTCCCCCCCTCCCTCTCCCCTCTAGGTGTTAGAAAATTCTAGTTATGGGGTTGTCTTTGAGGTGTGCAGGTGCCGAGAGAAACAAAAAAAGGAGTCTTCAAAGCTGCAGACTGTGAATAGAAAATTAACTGCAATGAACAAGCTGTTGATGGAGGAGAATGATCGTTTGCAAAAACAGGTGTCTCAGCTGGTCTGCGAGAATGGGTATATGAAGCAACAACTGCATACTGTAAATGTATCTTCTTTTAGTCCCTGGCTCTTTCTTTGTTTCTCTTCAACTCCTATTACAGACTGTATCCATATGATTATTGTGAAAACGCATGCCTTAATTTGCATTTTAAGTTGTTTTTTAGCTGTGGATATAGCAATTTAATTTGTCTTATGCCTTCTTTTGGTGTTAGGCGTTATATAGATCTTTGTGCATACTAATTATATGGGATTACTGTGTCTTATGCTCCCCATGTGATGTTTGCCTCTGTTTGTCCATATATATACACATATATTGGTTCTTGATTCTCTCTATTTATGCACAATACACCCTTGTCACATTCCTTTTATAATTATACCATTTCCTGCTAACTTTGTGTTATTGAACTGTTTTGGCGAGTTTCTATAAACAAATATTATGCATTTTTTGTGGTCCTTTTGTATGTGTTTTGACATTATTGGATTGTTTTCAGGCATCAGCAGCTGATGCAAGCAGTAATTCCTTGATCGCCACTCCTCAGCATTCACTGCGAGATGCCAATAACCCTGCTGGGTATGTTTAGTTTTAACTTCAATGAACTAGCTCTTTATCTCTATCTATCCGTGCTTGTGTCTGTCTATAAATATATATTCTAATAAATGCTGTGAATTTCGTTATGGTCTTGGCAGACTCCTCTCTATTGCCGAGGAGACCTTGGCAGAGTTCCTTTCCAAGGCTACGGGAACTGCTATCGATTGGGTCCAGATGCCTGGAATGAAGGTTTGCCAGTGCCTTATGCCAATGATATTTTTCCTTTATTTGGTCGTCAAGGTTTTTTTATACAAGTAGCGAGTAGCGGTATGGTTTGTCTTGTTAAAAAAATCAGAAGTGTCTCTGACCCTATTTGTTTAAATCTGTTGTCAGCCTGGTCCAGATTCGGTTGGGATATTTGCCATTTCCCATAGTTGTAGTGGAGTGGCAGCTCGAGCCTGCGGTCTTGTAAGTTTAGAACCCATAAAGGTATGGATTTCGACGTCATTTCAAAGACTCTAAACATTTTATCAAAATATGAGACTTATTTGATCTGAACAATACTATTAAACTTTTGTTAAGATTGCGGAGATTCTTAAAGATCGTCCATCTTGGTCTCGTGGCTGCCGGAACCTTGAAGTTTTTACTATGTTTCCAGCTGGCAGTGGTGGAACAATTGAACTTGTATACACGCAGGTGAAGAAGAATGATTACTGTATATATTTTTTATTTATATTCTCTGTAGATGTTTACTCTCTTTTCATGAGGAATTACTAAAATGAGGACTGCTGTAGATGTTCGCTCCGACTACGCTGGCTCCTGCAAGGGACTTTTGGACTCTTCGATACACTAAAACTTTAGAGAACGGCAGTCTTGTGGTATGCATATCTTGCACTTGTTATTTATTTAATTAATGTAAAGCTTTATAATTAAGAAAGTCAAGGTTAGAGTATAACGTTGTGTGGTACTTGCTGAGCATCTCCATTGCTTATTTGACTGTCCCTATGATTGTTTGCTTTGAGGATTATTGCCTTTCATTATTTTTTTCCCTCTCTATTTTCCAAGGTTTGTGAGAGGTCTCTTTCTGGTTCGGGTGCCGGCCCAAGTGCAGCTGCTGCAGCTCAATTTGTGAGAGCTGAAGTGCTTCCCAGTGGTTATTTAATTAGGCCTTGTGAGGGTGGAGGGTCAATCATCCATATCGTTGACCACCTTAATCTCGAGGTACAACTTCTGATAAGTAGGTAATTTCACGACATCTTTAGACGCGTTTATGACTTAATCTGTAAACACCTTATGGCAGGCATGGAGTGTGCCGGAGGTGCTGCGCCCACTTTATGAATCATCTAAATTAATTGCTCAGAAAATGACAATTGCGGTGAGTAGATTCTTTAGTAAAGTGATAAAAATTTTACAAGTAAATGTGCACTACGATTTGGTTTAACACTACTGATTATGAATCCTATTCAGTTTAGTTGTCCTTTTAACACAGAAATGACGAAACATTGAGAGTTTCTAAAGTTACTAACTATTTGATCTCTGCAAAGGCACTGTGCTACATCAGGCAGATTGCTCAGGAGACTAGTGGTGAGGTGGTTTACAGTCTCGGCAGGCAACCGGCCGTGCTGAGAACTTTTAGTCAGAGATTAAGCAGGTTGTTAAAAGAACTATTTTAAATCTTTGCTTTAATTTGGATTATGATTTTGAATGTGCAAAAAGAATCGTGCAGCAAACATATTTGTGTGTTGTGCCTGGTATTTCATTGAGATATCTGTGTATCTATCATTTACTTGTAGAGGCTTTAATGATGCAATAAATGGATTCAATGATGATGGATGGTCAATAATAAATTGTGATGGAACCGAGGATGTGATCATTGCAATTAATTCGAGCAAGAGCTTTAGCTGCACTTCGAATCCTGCCAATGCCTTTTCGTTCCTTGGGGGTGTTCTGTGTGCGAAGGCATCCATGCTGCTTCAAGTAAGTTTTAGAAATCCTATAAAATTGAGAAACTGTTTTCTTATTCTTTGAGCAAGTTTTCATATTTTATATTTCCTAGTATCATTTCTTTTCTTATTGCAAGTGACAATTAAGTTTTAGTTGGAAAGATAAACTTTGTTTTCGCACGCTAAAGTTTAAGCCTCCTTGATATCATGTCTTTCACTTTGAAAACAATGGGACTATCTACCTTATCGTTACTATTATCATTTTGTCAGAATGTTGCTCCTGCTGTGCTTGTACGTTTCCTGAGGGAGCATCGCTCGGAGTGGGCTGATTTCAATGTCGATGCTTATTGTGCTGCATCGTTGAAGGCTGGAACAAATGCTTATCCTGGAATGAGACCTACACGGTTTACGGGGAGTCAGATCATTATGCCACTTGGCCACACCATTGAACATGAGGAGGTATATCTTCTATGTGGTCATATGCACCTCTGTTCTATTCTCTCATTTTCAACTAAAAGCTCATTGTTCCTCAATATCTCAAAGAAGCTTTACTAATGCTGCATTTATCATGTATCAGCTACTTGAAGTAATAAGACTTGAAGGCCAGTCTTTTGTGCAAGAAGATGCCTTTGTATCAAGGGACATTCATCTATTGCAGGTGCTTCTTCTTCATTGATGCCTTGTTGAATGCTGGTGTCCTTTTACTTGTTAAATCAGAAATATAAAACCCGACACTCGCTGCCATTTTACTGGGTCTGGAACCAATACGTTTTTATTGCTTGAAACCATCTGGAATTGATTGTGCTGTAAAAATAAAAAAATTAGCCTCTTGATCTTTCTTTTAACATCTTTGATGTGTTTACTATACTTTGCGTACTGATTAATTGTGATGATTAATCCTCATTGCTATTGTAATTGCCACTTTTGACATGCCCTTTATTTAACATGGATCAACTTTATCTGGGAGAGTCAGATTTGTAAAGCTAGATTTATGTTCTTCCAGCTAATGGTTAAATTGTGATTTCGGTTTATTTGAATTGCCTTCATAATTGAAGCTTTAGTCGATGTTCCCAAATGTGTCCAAAATGTTTGCAGATATATTTACTTTATCCGTATTACCATCTTATCAGATATGTAGTGGAATTGATGAGAATGCTGTGGGAGCCTGTTCAGAGCTTGTCTTTGCCCCAATTGATGAGATGTTTCCAGATGATGCTCCTTTGCTACCTTCTGGATTCCGTGTTATCCCATTGGATTCAAAACCAGTTAAGTTCCATTGCCTTTCACCTGAACTTTTCCCAAATTTTTCAATCTTCAACATTATTATTCAGCTTTTCGTTGGTCTGATGGTGTTACTATTCAGTCTGATGCGCAGGATTCATTGGCTACAAGTCAGACTTTGGATCTGACTTCTAGTCTCGAAATAGGGCCAACGACAAATCATGCGGCAGGGGACGCCTCATCCTGTCTGAACACACGATCAGTGTTGACAATTGCCTTCCAGTTTCCCTTTGAAAGCAATCTCCAGGATAATGTCGCTACCATGGCTCGTCAGTATGTCCGTAGTGTCATTTCTTCTGTCCAGAGGGTTGCCATGGCCATATCTCCATCTGGATTGAACCCAGCTGTCAGATCAAAGTTATCTCTCGGCTCTCCGGAAGCACTTACACTGGCTCACTGGATTTGCCGGAGCCACAGGTGAGTTGCTTTATTGTTTGTATGCATTGCAGTTTTTGCTAACATGCCACCCTAGAAATTACATGTTCTGTCGGTTAACCGAATGGATGATGTGTCATTTTCGTTTGTTTTTACCCAGTTACTATTTAGGAACGGAATTGTTGAGGTCTGAATCGTTTGGCGATGACTCTATGTTGAAGAATCTCTGGCAGCATCAAGATGCAATATTGTGTTGTTCATTGAAGGTATGGCCACAACTCAGTTGAAAAATCTAGAATAATAGAAGCTTAACTGCAGCTGCAATCTTCATAATTGTTCAAATCAAGCAATCTAATCTGTATCGGTTTTGCAGTCACAACCGGTTTTCATATTCGCAAATCAAGCTGGGCTTGACATGCTGGAGACAACTCTTGTGGCTCTGCAAGACATCACATTGGATAAATTGTTTGATGAATCTGGACGCAAGGCATTGTGCTCCGATTTTCCCAAGTTAATGCAGCAGGTGAGTTCTAACCAACCAACCAACCCCTAAAAAATAAGGAAAAAAAAACTTCCCCTTGCTGTTAAAATGGCATTTTTTTCCGTTTTGGACATAGATAATTATTAACTGCTTGGCTGAGCTAAGAAAAGGGCTGCTCTAATTTGTCTAGTAAATACATAATTGAATATTTCAACTTTAATAGCAGGGATTTGCTTGCTTGCCGGCCGGAATCTGCATGTCAACAATGGGACGTCATGCTTCATATGAACAAGCTTTTGCCTGGAAAGTCCTTGAAGCTGATGAGACCACTGTCCATTGCCTGGCCTTCTCATTTGTTAACTGGTCTTTTGTGTGAAAAAAACATTTTACTGTAATTTATTTGTCTGTAAAACCAAGCTTTCCCCCTAGTTGCCCATGGAAAATGGAAATGAACAGATCAGAAACAGGAGAAGTTTTGTAATATGGAAGGCACCCAGTTTAGTCTTGCATTTTATTAATTTAATTGAATTTTTTTGTGCACCATTATTTGGCTTTGATGGTTCTTGTATGTATTATGACTATTTCATCAAATTATATTAATTAATGCTAGTTGACTACAGGGTTGATTCTGATATATATAATATGCATGTGTTGTAAGGAAATAACGAAGATACATAGTATGTTAGTAATTCGCAGTGTATGAAACTTTGATATGTTCCGTATATTTGTATTATGATTTGCATTTCAACTAAAGAACAAGGAGAAACTTTGAACCGCACACACCATCTAGTATTGAAAAATATACATGTTTTACATTAATGTGATCAGATCGATCAATCTCCAATAGATTCCTATTGAATCAACCGATGTTCATAATGTCCTTGTCCAGATATTTGTCTCGTATGCTGATTTTTGATACAAACTATACAACCATAAAATCACAACCAAATTTTCAATTTCAAATCATCCAAGAAGGCTACGAGTGAGTGTGACATTTAAAAAATGCTTCAGATCTGATTACCCCTTTCTATTTCAATTTTTTTTGGTTCCCTGTTTATCTGGATGCCAGTGACCAAAAGTTCAGAAGAAATGATGGTAATGCAGTAAACCAGCTAATGAAGGCCATTGCAGTAGCAGTTTTAAACTGTAAGCAATGGTTATGAGCACAGCTATTATGATCATTGTCGATAAGAAGGGTGATGCCCGCAAAGGCACAAACTGCAGCAAATGTCGGAGTGGATGTGATCTGCAAGGCGAGAACATATGATCAAGACAACAAAAACTACATAACAAAGAGCAGACGAAAATGATTCTGAAATGTCAGAAGCTTTGTATGTAACAAGCAAACTGTAAGATGGCAGGGAGATATAAAAAATGCAGTGGATAAACAAGCAAATTTGTAATTCCTCTTATGGAGAAAGTGTAAGCAAGGTTTTGAGCTACAAACTTTGAAGTGTTTATAAGGTTACAACATGTCCTCAAAGATTAACAAATCTAGTGGATATAGACTTTGGTTTAGAAAGTTGAATCACTCTAAATTCATTGTGCGAAATTTCAATTTACGGTTGCTTCCATCACAAAGTTTTTAAAGGTCAATTCACCCCTCTTGGCATTATTCGGTTGATCGATAAAACTAACAAATAACAATTTCTAAGAAAGCCAGGCACGCAGACAAATAGATACTAGGTTCATTTGTAACGGGAAAAAATAAACATCGTACCCCATCACTAATAGCAAGCAAACTAACAACACTGTAGTTTTGCAAAGAGCACCTCACTAGAAGAGCATAAACGTCAATTATAGCCTGCGCTTAGCTCCACAAACTCTGCAAACTGGTGGCAGCAACAAGGTGGCTGATGTAGCAATAACAAAAAAGTTGCTTGTTATGAAAGAGTCAATATAACATGAATGCATAATATTTGCTTCATTTGTGAATCATATCTGAATTCCAAAAGACATAATAAGTTCAAGCAGTAATGCATATAGACATATAGTAAATAGCAAACATTCTTGTAAAGAATCTATCAAGAAAAATCAAACTGTGAAAGGCCAGATCTTACAATCTCGTTTCAAAGAAAAAAAGGGGTCTAAACCAAATTAGGTTGTACTCCTTGAGGAGTTATGAGCATGAGAACGTATCTCTTACACAACCCTCGTTATTATCAAAATGCAGACAATAAAGTACCTACAGAGTGTGACATATGACATCCTACTATCGCCACTTGCCATTTTCTAAGAACTGATGCTCTATTTGTTTGACATTTTCATAGATTGTTTAATCTAATACACCACTTAGCATGTGAAACGACATGTATAATTAGCAAATTGCCAAGTATTAATAGCCAGTGGAGATTCGGCTTGAAACAAACCAAAAGCAAAAAGCCCGAGTGAAGGGAAAGACGCTGATCTGAAACAGATGAAAACTAGGTTTCTTTCCCTTATCCAAAAGTTTACCTACCTAACAGGCACTAAATTATACAACTTTAATTTCAAACTGGACTTTTAACGCTATTCCATTAAAATAATCTTCCCTTCATTAGATATGCCAAGTACAATGCGAGTTAACAAATAACCAATATATCAATTGTCTTAAATACGTATGAACTGGTTGTATATCGACAAATTACTACAGGTGCAACAAAAGAAAAATGATGATGTGATACAGGAACCAACCAATTAAAGCAGATTCCTATATTCACTTCTTAAATTTTAAAAGCTTAAGACTGGTAACACAAATTTGGTTGTAACACTAATATTACAACATTATTTCCAAACTATAGAGTTCGATGCATTTTTTTATATGAAATAAACACTGGATTTACATTCAAGAAGTCAAAAAGTAATATACTTAAAATTTTAGAATGCAATGATAATGAGTGGTGATCGAAGGAGTCTTTAGTTAGATTTAAGGCTAAATTAATATTTTATTTAAAGTTTAATGATGAAATTTATATTTTTATCTGAAATTTAACATTAAATTAATATTTTTATCTAAAATATAAAGATTAAACTAGATTTATCCTATTTTGTTAACACGGTGTCATTAAATCAATAATATTTAATATTTCAATTATCAAAACATTACAATTTGATAATATAAATATATTTGCTTCTAAATGAATTACCAAAATGAACAACAATAAAACAAAAATGACCATTTTAATATTTTACCTGTAAGTTAATGAATAATATTTCATTTTATCTCTAACTATAACTAAAATTTTATTTTAATACTCGTTGATATTTTTAAACGATAATTCTTGAAAAAATATAGTTTATTTTTAAAATTATTTGAATTTTTAAGCGCATGGACATAATTTATTATCATCGTAAAAATAGAAAAATACAAATTTAGAATAATTAATAATTTAATTGTATAATTTAAACATGAATTATTTTTAATGAATTTTATTAATTGAATTTGAACATATAAGATTTGAGTGATATAAATGTAGTAAATTATAATGGAAAAAATAAAAACATAAATTCAATATATTTTAGAGTTAAATGATTGAAGAATTTATTACATGGGAATTTTTATTCGACAGGAAGTCATAGTTGTGACCTTAAAAAACTTGAAACCTCAGTTTGGTTTTTTTCCTTCTTTAGAATTTAGAACCTATGGATCAGTTTTGAGAATTTTGGAGTGCCTCTTTTGTTCCTCGCCTCAGCTACTGCTACTGTATAGTTTTTGCGGGGATTTTCCCATTTTATGGGGCTTGTTGATCTTCAGGCTTAGTGGACTTCTCTTCTTCTTCTTTTATAAATAATAGAAAATTTAGGGTTTCTTTTCTTCATATATAATTTTCGTCTCATATTCTCTTGAATCTCGCGGCTCCTTCAACAATTCCTGGATTCACTGGTTGTATCAGGGTTTATAGTTATATTCAGCTTCTCTCCTTAATCTTCCCTCTTATTCACCATGTTCTGGCAGCTCACACCTATATCCGCCTCTTCACCTGTGAGTAATTTTATTTCTGTGCTACTTCATTAATTCTATTTTAATTAATGATTTCTTTAACCTTTTCTTGATACTTCGATTTTCTCCCTTTTGTTCGGTATTAATTTATTTCATCTAATGAACTTGTTAATTTTTCATTACGTTCGAATTAATCATTTTCTCGTAGATTACTTTATTTGGAATCTACTTTGTTTTCGTCAATGGCGTATCAAAGTAGTTTCAGTGACTTTGGTTTATCCGCATGCTTGGAAAATTTCATTGTTCAGTTCTATGAATTGACTTAGATTTTTAAGTTAGTTTTTGAGTTAGGAAATGGCCGAGTTTCTTTTTTTTTTTGAAGCCGCAGTATCTTATTAAGTGATAACTGCTCTTGATTTCATTTCGCAGAAATCTGTTAAGCTATGTAGCTATTATTAGCTGGATTTTAGTTTCTAGGTCGATGTTCATTCACTGTTTCTGGGAATTCTAAGAATATTGTTGACTCACGTATTAATTTTGTGTTTGATAGGATCAAGGCATTATCATTAACTGTGATATTATTTTGTAGGTGGACTCTATATTAGACAAGGAAAGCTTTACTTTGGAAGAGCTTCTTGATGAGGAAGAAATAATCCAAGAGTGCAAAGCCTTAAATAGTCGACTCATCAATTTGTAATTTTGCCACTACATTACTTTGTGCTTTTCCTTTTTTTCCTATCATTTTCTATTTGGTGCAATTGTTTGGACTTTAAAGTAGATTTCCAATTATTAAAATGGCTCAATGTGAATAATCTAATTGAAAATTAGTTTGTTTGATGCTTATCATGTGTTAAATTTTTATGTCAGTCTACGAGACAGAGCCCAAGTAGAGCAGTTGTTGAGATATATTGTTGAAGAACCTCCAGAGGTTGCAGACAGCAGACGGACCTTCAAGTATGTCATTTTTATAAAACCAGGAGCTAGACTTCTTTCCATTTCCTTGTAACATTTCTGATATTAATTTTTCGCTATCCTAATGATTTGCTAATTGTTATGTCTAGGTTTCCATTTGTTTCCTGTGAGATATTTACATGTGAGATTGATGTCATTTTGAGGACTTTAGTTGAGGATGAAGAGGTATTGGTTTCATTTTCAATCATGATTATGCATCTTTAATTATTGAAATTACTGTGATGTTTGTTTCATATGGTTTTCTCCATGTTGTAGTTGATGGACTTACTTTTCTCCTTCTTGGAACCGAACCGTCCTCATAGTGCCTTGCTAGCTGGTTATTTCAGTAAGGTTTGCTTCTTCATGTTCTGATTAGTTTGTGTGCTGTTTTATGTCATGTTTTCTTTGAATCCTGCTTTGGTTTTATTATTACCAGTTGACAGGCTTCATTTGTTTTGTGATTTTAGGTTGTTGTATGCCTTATACTACGGAAAACTGTTCCACTTATGAACTATGTTCAAGTAAGCAAAGCTGTTTCAAATCTTGGACTTCTTGCATATATGTGATACATTTCTTTTGTTATTGGATGGCACATTAAATAACCTGCAAATCTGGATAACTAGTGTAGTTCAGGCTATGCCGTAGTCCTACCTTGTTCCTTGGTTGAACTTTGCAGTGATTTATTAGACATTGACTTGCATAATGCACTCAAAGCAGTTGTCACCTGCAAGCTTGTTTTCTGAATTAGTAGTGTGATTAATTCTTGGGATTGTAAGCCATTCTCACCTGGTCTATTGGTTATCTGGTGGTACATGTAACAACCGTACAAGTCTAGTGACTTGCATGACAACATTGGGCTTGTTAGTGGTTTATGGTCCATGAAATACAAAGTATAAATGTTTTTATTTATTTATGGAATTACTGAGGTAGACTATTAACAGGTACATCAAGTCCTGTTCCGCTTACTGGTTGATTTGATAGGAATCACATCCATCATGGAGGTACCTGGTATTTTCTCTGCATTGTTTTATTGCAATAGTGGATTTTATGTGGTTTGGAGTTTAATATGTTTGGGTTGAACATAGATATGAGGTGTACCTTTTTGCAGGTTTTGGTTCGGTTAGTAGGTGCTGATGATCATGTATATCCAAATTTTTTGGATGTAATGCAATGGCTAGCTGATAGCAATTTGCTGGAAATGGTTGTGGATAAATTGAGTCCATCTGTAAGTGAGAATTTTGTTTTATTGTTTTTATACATAATCCTGTATTATTCTTTGCATGGCATGGATTCTTTGTAATGTCAATCAGACAACCTGTTTTTTTGTAATGACCAGTGTGCTCCCAAAGTTAATGCTAATGCCGCAGAAACATTATGTGCAATAACTCAGAATGCCCCATCAGCTTTAGCCACGAAACTCTCTACTCCAAGGTTTGTGGGATTTAGTTACTTCCTGTCTCCTCTCTACCCACATCACCATTTTGATTCTCTATTGTTTATGTGATTTGACATGTGATTTTGAATATGCTCATGTACAGCTTTGTTGCAAGGATACTTGGTCATGCTTTGGAAGATTCACATTCCAAATCTAGCCTTGTAAATTCACTTTCAGTTTGTATCTCATTGTTGGATCCAAAAAGATCAGCAGTTACTTCTCCTTTGATACATTCGTTTCGGAATCAGTTTATATATGAGCCTCCAATCCCTATAAATTCAGAGACTATCAATGCGATGCTGCCTAAGCTTGGTGAGAGAATTTCCTTTTCTGCAAGTTTCATGTGAAAGTTTTCAAAAATCCTAGGTTCATGTAACACATTTAGCCATGGTGTTCAAGACTGCATGCTTTTGTGCAGTTGACTTGCTCATGCTTTTGAATGTGTCATCTGATGGGAAAATTTTGCCTACCACATATGGAGAATTGAGGCCGCCTCTCGGGAATCATCGTCTAAAGGTTCAGTTTTATCTTGTTATAAGTTTTATGTGCCAAGCAACGTCGAATACTCAATACTTGCTTGATTTATTTGGTGTTTGTGTGGCCTTGCCTGGAAGTTTCTTGGATTCTTTCTGAATTATTTTTCCATTTATTTCAAGATTGTGGAGTTCATTGCCGTGCTGTTGAGAACTGGAAATGAAGCTGCACAGCAAGAATTGGTTAACTCAGGAACCATTCGACGAGTTCTTGATCTTCTCTTTGCGTAAGCTCTTGTGTAAAACTGTCATCTTGAAGATTGTTGAAAGTTTGAATCTAGGAGGTGCTTGATGTATCACAGGAAATTGGTTCATTTTGTTAGCTAGTGAGTATTCATTCTCTTCATTTCAAATTATGCAGGTACCCATACAACAATGCATTACATCATCACGTGGAGAGTATAATATTATCTTGCCTTGAAAGAAAGAATGATTCTATAGTTCTTCATCTTCTTCGAGATTGCGATTTGATTGGGAAATTTCTCCAAATTGATAAGCATCCAATTCTTTCTGGTGATGGTAATCAGGTAGATGCTAATCTTGTTGCTATTCTTCTGTCAGCTAACTGTCATTATAACCATTATAAGTAGTGGCCGCTACAATTGCTACCTGATTAAGCAATTGGCATAATCCCCCCCGCCCCCTTTTCTTTTTTGTAAAACAGCCCACTTTACTTGCTGCTGGAAAATGTGCACCACGGGTTGGAAACATTGGACACATTACACGTATTTCAAATAAACTCATACAGTTGGGAATCAGCAATAGCCACATTCAAGCATGCCTACAGGTATGTACAACTTGTTAATGTTGAAATAAGGCTCAGGAACCCGCAAGCTGTGGGTGCATTGTTTTTTTGTAGTTTAAGAACTTTTGTTATAATAGAAATTAGGGTAAAACCTTTTTATATGTGGTATGATAAAATCAGAGTTGGTCATCATAATTAGTAGTGTTCTGTGGCACATTGGTTGTATTTTTCGTTGGCTGGAATAGCTTGGTTGGATCTGTATGTTGGATTAGGCAATTTATTGTGGTATTTATTGCTCAAGTTTTTGTGATTCACTGACACAAGTTCATACATTCTGTATAGGAAAATAATGAATGGAATGAATGGCAAGCTAATGTTCTGCAAGAGCGTAATGCAGTTGAAAATGTTTATAGATGGGCTTGTGGGTATGCTCTTGCTTCACTTCTGATATTTTTTGCTTCCAGATGAGTAGGATACATGATTGAAGAGGTCAATTATCTATAGATTCTGTATGTGCTTGATATGGCATTTCCAAGGGTGCTTGCATTCATGGACTATGTGGTCTTGTGACAGATTTGTATCTTATAATGACAGAAAATGAGCCTGGTACTTCTCTCTTTTTAAATATTTATGGCTTTTAATAGCCTCATGATTTGTTTGCAGAAACCACGTTGGTGTAAGAGCAAACAGAAAAGTCTTTTAAACAGTCTCATGTATTTTCCCTTCTCTTGTGCAGCCGCCCAACAACATTGCAGGACAGAACTAGAGATAGTGACGAAGATGATCTTCATGATAGAGATTATGATGTTGCTGCTTTAGCAAATAACCTAAGCCAGGCTTTCAGATACAGAATAAATGGGAATGATGATAATGAAGTATGTAGTTTGGTTTTTCTAACCATCTCTCAACTTCACCTGGGTTCTCTACTAATTGTTCTTATTTATCTGCTTTCAGGAGCATGGTGCTCTTGAGCGAAATGATGAGGTCTGTGACAGTTCTTTTAATTAATCGGAGATTGTTTCTATGTGATTGTTTAGATCAGAACCAAACAAATAGGGAATTTTTTCTCTTCAGTTCTTAGCATCAATTCAATTGTATATATATGTTTTCAATTTGCAGGATGCTTACTTTGATGATGAATCTGCTGAGGTTGTCATATCATCCTTGAGGCTTGGAGATGAACATGGAAGGTGAGCTTTTTCAGCTTTAGGCATAGTAAAAAAGTAATTAGTTGGCGAGGCTCATAGTGGACCACCTGATGGGTAGTTTTGTTGAAGAACCTCCTATTCCCTTAGCTTTCATAAATGTACGGTTTTATTGTTTTGTTAACGCAGTCGTATTAATGGAGATTACAACCCATGTGTTTTAATGAGCAGTCTGTTCACAAATTCGAACTGGTTTGCATTCGAAGATGACAGAACCGGTAATGCACCTGTGGCATCATCACCCGCAGAGGTGATGAATGGCACCTCAAATGGTGGTAACAGCAGTAGTGATGATGAAGTGGTAGTTGGAGAGGAAGATGAGTTGAATGAAAACAAACAGTTGGTGAATAGCACATCTACTTCCGATGCGATGAATGGATTTAACAATCTTATGAGTAATACGAGATTCTTCAGGTTTGACACAACAGAAAGCGAGGATTTGTCTGGAGACAGGTCTTTACCTGAGTGGGTGGGATGGGGAGAATATTTGGAATTGCAAGCAGCAGGTGGTTCAAGCAAGAATCCATTTCTTGATGATGACAGCACTGATGTCAGCATACCCAACCAAACAGAGGCAATGGTCACCGATGTTGGCACCCACTCAAGTGGGGAGACCACACTTCCAAGTGATTCCTTAGACTCCATGGATTTAAGTGAAGGATCAGCGATAGGTGATACAAATCAGAAATCTCCACCTCTGGTGCCCTCTTTATTTGAAGAGGATGTTGAATTTGTAGGGGTGGAATCAGAAGGTGCAGAGAAGGCAATGGAACAAGCTTTAAAAGAAGGAATAGTTGGGGAAGCAGGACTGTTGCAGAGCGACAGTATCCCAAAGGTACCTGGAAAGGAGAACGCTGGTGATGTTGGAGTTGGGATGGAGGAGTTCAATGATTCAAACTATTGGAGGGTCGATCAAGAGGTTGCTATTTCAGAATAATTCCTGCGAAAAGATGTCTTCTGCCGAACATAGAAGACGGACTTGAATCTAACAAAATCAAAGCTTTTGGTTGGTGAGGGCAGATGCAGAAAAGCAAAATTCATCTGCACAGTATAATTCCGTTTCGGTGTGGGGGTTGGCTGTGCTATGGTGATGGTTCTGTTCATTAGTGATTGTTGTTATTATTTAACGTTTTGTTTCTTCTTCCTGTTTGTCTGATTTTAAGGTTAGGGTTTCCCTATCAAATCGTAATTTGAACCTTAATTATTACTGGAATAATGCCGCAGTCATTCGAGTCGTTTTTCTTCTGTTAATTTTGTTGGCATTCTTTTATGGAATTTGAATGCAGATTTGATAGAGAGGGAGGGTGCAGAAGCACCAATGGATAAGGTTTGTGTTCAGTTTAGATTTTTATGTTATAAAATATAATTTATCTGAAATATGGGTTTTAAAATTATGCCTAATTCTTTTATATAATTTATCTGAAATATGTTTTTTGATTTAAAGAAAGTCCATACCGTAATTTTCTCAGGCGAAAACCAGATGAAAAGCAGAGCAAAACTAAAGCATCGTGTTTTTTTTTTAAAGTCTAAAGAGACATACCAAGACCAAACCTATAGATTAGGGCCTATCTGTAGAGGGCTGTGCTTTTGGGTTTTGGCCCGGTTGCCCTAAATTATATTTTATTTACCTACTACAAAACAAAATATCTTAAAAATAAATAAATAAAAAGGTGAAAATGATTACATTTAAGAGTTGCAAGAATGAATGAATGAATGAATAGGGTGAGAGACCTGATACTATCAAACTCAAACTTGTTAAACCTACAATTTGTAAAATCAACCCTTCATACTCTAGACTTCAACAAAATATATCCCGTCTGCCAAGCATCCATCTTCCTACTTATCCCATCAATCTACACACTGAGAAACAAGGAACGAAAACCAAAACACATGGATGTAAACAACGCAATAATGGAAATGCTCACTCTGAGAAGTTTTCTACAGATACCGGAACGACATTTTGGGGGGGTTTGACAACGGCAGCTTGGCTTTTTTTCTCATCTCTACCACCTTCTTGTGAGAGTTGGAATGCAATGACGGAATGAATGTAGGACTTGCGGCAGGACGATACTCTGGAAAGAGGCGTCCTGACCTGTAGCGAACCCCACATGCATTGCAAAGGGTCTTTGGTCCCATTGGCCCTTCTCTCCATTGTGAAGTTTCTGTAATTTCACAGTGCATACATTTCATAATGACAATAGGCTGTTGGGAGCAGGATTTCTTGATCTCGCTGGAACTTGAAAACAATGTCAGGTTCTTTTTCTTCTTCTGTCTCTTTTTGGCATATCTCTCTGTAAGATGGCTTTCTGATTCAGATTCAGAACCAACCAGATAATTAGATCCCCTGGAGGCAAAGGATGCGGATGATATGGAAGGCAATGTGGACTGAAGGATATAGGTAGATGCTGGTCTGGGCTTGATTTTGCTTCGACCTCGCTTCACTGTGAAACTTAGTTCAGGGTTATGAGGTGCAGGATTTGCACCTGAGCAAGAACTGCTGCTTTCAAGCTCGGATACTGGACTGGAAGTCTGGAACCAGGTTGAACCTTTCACATCAGTAGACTCATTGTGCAAGGTAATGCTTCTTCTGGTGTCTGGATGTCTTGATATGGTATCGCTTGACTGTTGGTTTAGCTCAGAAGATCCATCACACTACAAAGAGGAAGAAAGAGTCATATAACAGGTTACGGAACATTTAGCCTATCTTCTATACAATTAAAAAGAAAATGGAAAAAGAAAGAAAAAGACTATCAAAGATTAGTTATTCATATTTATTGCAGTTGTGCGAGGATTCAATAGAAAGTTGTAACAAAAAGGCCACCATCCATTTCAGAATAATTATCAATTACAACAATTGCATAAATTCCGGAAAATTTTACAGTGCGACACCCTTAATATACAATTAAAAATTTATCTAAAATATTATTATTTCTATAAAAAACATCAATGTTTTTTAACATTTCTATAAAATGCCCAACAATAACAAAATCGGTAGAAAAAAATAACAAAACCGATAACACTCTACCAAAACTGATAAAGCGGCTAATAATAACAAAACCGATAGAAATAATAATGTTTTCGATAACTTTTTACCGATTTTATTATTTAAATAATAATAAAATCGATAACGTCTTTTTTTAGCCGTATATTAAGACTACGACACCTGATCATTTCCCATAAATCCCTAACAAAATTTAACAGAAAAAATTGCCACTTTGGTATTGAACATCAATCATATCACAACGAACAGCATTATCAGGTGGTCCCATCCATTTATTAGCAAGGCAAAACAGACACTGATTGGGCCTGCCTGCTTGCCTATACAGCTGTATTACAGTGTAATAGCATGTGGTGCACCAGTGCACATGATATGTGACATATTCTTATTGCATATGCAGCACAAAACTTTTGCAAAGTACAGCATCTAATTAATGTTTAATCACTTTAGCCATTTCCAATTGACTCGCTAAATAACCAAGCTCCGGAAGACCATACTTCACATAATATGCAACTACTCTCAGCATGTCTTAAAAACAAAGTTACTCCCGACCTAACTTTGCTTCTAAATGAAGTATGAATGAAATATCCCCATATTTATAGTGGTTGCTTCAGGAAGTACACAGTGAAAGTGCACATGTAATCAACCAAGTTGTTGGTATCACAACATGCACAAAGTAGGTCGTATGTACTCGAGAAAAAGTAACAAGACACAATTTACTCCATGCCATGAATGATATTTTGTATGTCTCCAAGTAAACACACTCCAACCACCATTAGAACGTCATTAATTCATAGACAGAGACACGCAATGAGCAAGTACACCGGATGTGTCAGAAAAGAAAAGAAAAAAACCAATGCGCTATTATTTGCATTCCGGCCAATGCTAAATTAAAAACCGCACACATCAAAAAGTATGGAATGGAAAACAAGTGGAACTCACTGAAATTGTAAGGCTTTTCTCCAAACTATCACTGAAAAAATCACCATAAAATCCAGAAGACAAGCCGACCAAAACATTGGTGGGTGGAGGCTCTAAGTTCTCAAAGTTACAATCCCACTCTTCATCACCGTCATTATTCTCTTCCGCCGGCAAATGATTCTTTTTCACATCTTCTTTACTACCATGACAGTCATCCCCTTCAACTTCTTTAAATGGTAAATCCAAATACTCCATTATGTCATCAAAGAAATCATCATTGACCCCAACCCCATTGAAGCCTTTGTCGAACCAAGAATTATTCATTTTCAGAACCTTTTTCCGCTTTTTCTCTAATTTTCTGTTCAAAATAGAAGAGAAAAAGCTGATTACTGTCAGAAAATAGTTATTATCTCGTGGAAATTAGCTTATCAACAAACAATCACGGTTTTTTACCCATATCTTATGCACAAAGCAGCAATATCTTCAGCGGTAACATCTTTATCGTGTAGAAATTTTAAAAAATTCGAAGCGATTAAGGACACTAAAGTAATTTAGGCAATAATAAAATAATTAATAACATTATTAAAGTTCTCTATTTAGGTGAAGTTTTTTTCTAGGTTTGTAGAATCAGTTAAGTCGTCATTTTAGCATGACGGTTAACATAAAAGAAAAAAAAATAACACCAGTAATAACAGCTCAATTTTCATTAAAAAAATAAAAACTCAAAATAATATAAAAGAGTTCCAATAATTTTTTTTACAAAAGCTTGTTTGGATACAGAGAAAATGAAATGCAGCAAAAGGAATGTTGAAAGTTAGTAAATGATAACAATAGAGAAAAAAGTTAATATCATTTTCTTCATTTTTCTGAGTAACCAAACAGAAAGTAATCTGAAATGCAGAAGAGAAAGCAAAAAATGCAAATAAATTCAAACATTTAAAAAAAACCCAAAAAAAAGAGCAGAAGAAAGGCAAGGAGGGGGGGACAAACCTGGTTTGAACAAGAAGATTGGAGGAGAGGTCGATATTTTCGTGTTTGGATCAGAGGGAAATGAGAAGGAAGGGATAGGATTCCTTTGAATCTGATGTACTTTTAGGGATTCAGTGAAAGAGAGTAAAAGTTCATGTGAGAAGCCGCACATGGGAAGGTGGCTGTGCGCCTCCGGTTTCCCCCCCTAACCTTTTTTAAATTTAATCAGACACAGCTCACTCATCCCTCAATCTCATCAGATGTTAAAATCTCTGTTTTGGGGGGGGGGGGGAATCCTTTTCCCTTTTGTTATTAAATAAATACCAAACAGTTTCCAAAAACATAAAACCAACGGAAGGGACTAGCGAGGTTGTAAATGATATTTTGAAGAGATAATAACATTAGTGATCAAAAACTCATATAATATATGATTTTAATTAATTTTTTTCGGATTTGTCAAAATGACCAACAAAATCGTAATGCGATCGCTAATTCACAACGCGATTATGACTATCGTAATGCGATTTTCCAATTTCGCGTTGCGATTTTCCCAATTCGCAATGCGAATAAGTAAATCGCAATGCGAATAAGTAAATCGCAACGCGAATAAGTAAATCGCAATACGAATACGTAAATCGCAACGCGAATACGTAAATCGCAACGCGATTAAGTAAATCGCAATGCGAATTAGGAAAATCGTAATGCGAATACGTAAATCGCAATGCGATTTACATAGCGCCATTCGTATTAACGCGTATTTTTTTTTCAAATCCCAAACACGAATTTTTTCTTAATACATCGAAAACTGAACCGTCCACAGTAATCGCAACTCATAACCTCAAACCTAAAATCACAACACTCAGTCTCATCTCCATCTCTCACTCTCTACGGCAAAATCCGTCCCCATCTCCGAAGATTTCCGTCCCCATCGCCGGCGAAATCCCTCACAACCATTCACGGTCAGAAATCCCTCACAATCATTCAGAAATGGAAAATCAACCTCCGAGGGTTAGTTTTTTTAATTATTTTTATTTTGAAATTTTTGCATTATTTTAGGTTTTTCATATTGAAATTTATGATAAGTTTACTGGTAATTTCAATAATAGATTAACCATTTCACTTAGATTTCTTATTAAATTCATTCGATTGCTGCCAATACTGCTAAACTGTTTAGCCTGTGAAGTTAGTATTTGTCTTTGTTTTGTCTTTTGGTTGAAGTAATGCAGAAGAAGAATAGTTTCGAGAATGAAAATCGCAACGCGGAAATAACTATCGCAACGAGAGAATCGCAACGCGAAACTAAAATCGCATTGCGATTTTCATTTCGCGTTGCGATTCTCTCGTTGCGATTTTCATTTGCGTTGCGATTCTCTCGTTGCGATAGTCATTTCGCGTTGCGATAGTCATTTCGCGTTGCGATAGTCATTTCCGCGTTGCGATAGTCATTTCCGCGTTGCGATTTTCATTTCAACCAAAAGACAAAACAGTGTTGCAAATTTTAGTTTCAAGAATAAACTACTATTTATGTTTATTGTTTTTGGTATATCTTCACAGTGTAGTTTTTGGTATATCTAACTTGGTATGTTTATTGTTTTTGTAGAAATTTTTTTCGGCTTCATTGACATTAAGGAATAAAGTTAGCCTAGCCACTACAATTGCTTCGAAGCTTTCACCTGCACAAAGAAAATTGTTTGAGGAAACCTGCTTCGGGCCATGGCTGAGAGTACAGCATCCGGGTGGAGATGCTAATTTGACCCATTTGTGGCTTCAGACCATGACTAGCGATCTACCCGACAGTATACAACGTGGTGAGGAAGAGATATGGTTTCATTTTCCACCGGCGTATACTTGTTTTGGGCGGAAGGAGTTCTGTTTAATCACTGGTCTACGATTCAGACACGATGATTTAGGCCGGTACACTCGTCATATCACCCGCCCATCATGGTTATCCAGGGTTTTTCCTGATGAGTCAATAGAGAAGCCGAACTTACACGTCGACGACATGAAGAAATTGTTTAATAAGAAAGATGGTTTTACTCGGATGAATGACGTCGATGTTGTCCGAGTATGCCTTCTACTACTTTTGTATGCCGTATTTTTAGGCAGAGAGGCCAGACAACCTATTCCTTAGGAGCTAATATTATTGGTAGAGGACCTAAATGCATGGAATCTGTTTCCGTGGGGTTCGTATATATGGAAAGCTACCTGGACTAAGTTGTCGTCTGCCTTTGATGACCGCAAAAGTTTGCGGGGCGATGGGTCGAAATACACTTTGTCAGGCTTTGTTTGGGCCTTTAAGGTAAGAATTTCTATATAATGTTTTCAAAATTATAATTAATTATTTAACAATTACTAATGTTTGTTATTATATTGTTTGTAGATTTGGATATTCGAGGCTTTCCCCAGCATGCAGACATATGCATTAAAAACCTCAAATGATATTCCTAGGGCTATTTCCTGGAAGAGGAAACGTCTGTTGGATTGGGAAGACTTAATACCATATGCGACAATAAATAATATAAGTTAACACAAATATTATCATATATAAACAAGTTATTAATAGTAGACGTTTAACTTTGTTTGAGTTTTTATATTTTTAGGAGACCAACATTCCATTAATGAGACTGACACCCACGGATGCTGAGCTTGCCACTGATTGGTGGCAAGCTAGTCAGCGTTTTCTTGATGGCACGAATGATGAGCAACCTCCACTTCCTCCACTTCGAGAGCCATCACCTGATCGACCCGACTATACACCTCTACAACGAGAGCCATCACCTATCCCGTCACATCATCGAGCCTCTTCTCCACCATGCACCATCACCTCATGATAGGCGACCGGCAAAGATGCCACGACTTCTATCTCTCTGTTCTCCACCTCCACGGGATGAGTCAAGGGAGTTACGTGATGAGGTCAATGTCTTGCGTGAGGAGATCGGTACTCTACGCGATAACGATGGTGCATGGCGTGTGGAGGTGTCTACTTTACGTGGTGAGGTTGCCACTCTACGTGAGATGGTAGTATCGTTGCAGAATGAGGTTCATACTCTACGCAACGAGGTAAGTTTAAGATTTTCCATATTTAACTTGATGATAAATTTACTCGTAATTTCACTTAAATTAACCATTTCACTTAGATTTCTTAGTAAATTTATTCGGTTGCTGTCAATACTGCTAAACTGTTTATTAACACTGTGAAGTTAGTATTTGTCTTTTTGTTTTGTCTTTTGGTTGAAGTAAATTTATTCGGTTGCTGCCAATTCTGCTAAACTGTGTATTCTTTAACACTGTGAAGTTAGTATTTGTCTTTGTTTTGTCTTTTGGTTGAAAGTTTGAAATATATTTGTCTTTGTTTTCACTGTTTAAATATCATGTCTGTTTATTTACTGATATTTGTATTTAATTATTTAGCGGACCGATAAGGTGGATGCTTTACGTCGGGTTTTTCTTGCACGACAAAGTTCACGTATCAGACGGCGTGCACGTGCTATTAAGTCTCCGTACACCCCAATAGTGCGAAGACACCGCAAGAAGAAGCCCGACTCGCCTATCATCCCTCAAGAGTCCACTTCTATCGTTGAAGAGGCCCCTATCATTCCTCGAGAGTCCCCTTCCACCGTTCAAGAGGCCACTGTCATCGTTGAAGAGGTCTCTCCCACCATTCAAGAGCCCGATTCACATGGCGTCATATGTAGGATTCTTGAGAAACCCTCTGACGTGCCGGACATGATGGATTCAAGTTGGCTCTCGTATGAGTTACCGACCAGTACCATACCGGTATCTGAAGTGGAGAGGAAACAACTACCGGACATAATTCTGGATAACACCCTTTGGGCTAAGACCGCAGTTGATTTTTATCTACATGAGCGGAGCCAGGGGTGTTTCACTGACATATGCAAGCTCAACGATGATATCTATTTGTTTCTTGATCGGTCTTGGTGGGGCGTATTATTAGGGGTCGAAGACAATGACTATTTCGATGGAGGGGTAAGTCTTATATTTTTCTTATATTTTAATTTGATTATTTTTTTTAAATTTATGTAAGTTACTAATATATGTCTTTTTTTGTAAAACAGCATATCGATGCGTGGGTGTCACGTCTTCTAATAATTAGGAAACTTAAGGAAAATAAAAGAAATACATGATATACAATTATGCCGACGTCTTTTAACGCCGTTCACTTGAAGAATCAACGAGATGAATCATTTGCGTTGGGCAATGGACAAGCTAAATTTTATCCTGCATGGTGGGAGGTCGATAAGGTTAGTGTTTATTTTAGATTGAGTTTAAAGGTATTCATAAATAAGTGCGCAAATGAATGAATTATTACTTATGATTGCATGTGTTTATCCCTGTTTTGGAACGTAAACTTTGGCTTCTCGTCGAGCTTCAGATCCCATCCCTTAAGGCAATAGTATATGACAGCATGATAAATTACATATCATTGGCTGATTTAAGAGATATTATTAAGGGATGGAGCTCTCATTTGACTAAATTCTTGGATGCGATAAATTATTGGACTCGTTCTGGAAACAAGAAGCCAAAGAAGCTCAATATTACAGTTAGCAGAGACGAGACCGCACCACAACAAACGAAAGGACCCAGAGGGGATTGTGGTCCTCTCGTATGCTTGGCGTTGGACCGTTTGATCACAGGAAGTATAAAGTATCTACCTCCCACCGATAGAGATAGAGCTGCAGTAGGCTTGTGGTTTCGGCATTATATGCTAGATCGATATATACGAGACGCTGCCTACATGCATCCGTGTTATAAAAATATCCATAAACAATTGGTATGTTTATAGGCTTGTGGTTTGAAAATGTTTGGTTAAGTACCTAGAATTCAATAATTTGTTGTTTGTAGGTTTTAGATGTGTAGAAAGTGTTGTTTGAGCAAATGTTTGGTTTATGCAGGTTAATCTCAGAAGTGAGCTGCGTGAAAATGATGTATGGCTGCAAAAGTTGATTCAATA